AAATAGAACGGCATTAGAGATAATAGAATAACATTTCTTTTAAGATCAGCCATAAGATAATGTTAAGAGCTTTCAGCTTACATTCCAACAGCAATGGAGACCAATATTTTTCTAAGATCAGCAAGTAGATAACTAAAGCAAACTTCAAGCTACAGAATTCCAAGAAAAAATAGAGAATTCTTTCTCTATACTCCGCCACGACGTTGGGATGATGGTCCTGGCTGTGGTGAGGAATGACGCATTCTTCCTTTTTCCCAGCGCGAACGCAGTTCATCCTTGAGAAGCTCGATCTTCTTCATGAGTTCGTCTTCTTTCTTTCTGAGCTGATGCTTTTCTTTCTTCATTTCGTCGATTCTTCTTTTGACGCCGTCAGGATCTGACTCAATCTTCTTCCACGTCTGTTCGATGCGATGCTTGAGCGAGAAAAGCTCATGTTTCGTCTTCGTCAACTTCTTACTGTGGGCAGCAATTTCCGCCTGCAGCTCCCTCGTTTCTTTCTCGATATCGTCCTCATTGGGTCTACCCTCAGCATCGGCATCTCGGCTTTGGCTCCGCACGGTCTTCTCTGATTCCTCCGAACGGCGGCCCGAATTTCCTGAGGATATTTCCAGCCTTTTGCGTCCCTCAAGCTGCTCCGTTTTCGTGGGCTTTACGGCTTTGCTAATCTCCGATAGCTTTCTTTCAATGCATTCCAAACGTCGTTTCAGTCCGGTTTCATCGAGACTTTTCCTGATTTCGCATTCGAGTACAATCATACGTTGAGTAAAAGCTCTTACGTCGTTCACCATCTGCGGCAAATTCAGCTTTTTGACCTCGCCCCGCATGTTGCGGACCTCTTCCTCAATTTCGTCGACATGAACATTGATGACAGTTTTTGCGGACTCCAGTTCTTCTTCAATTTTCTTCCACAGCTCGTCGAACTTAGGTCCAAGATCTACCGCTGGTTCTGTTGACGTTGCCTGGTCCTTCCTTCTTTTAGAAGTTGAATCGGATGACGGCTGGTTCTTCTTTCTCTTAGGGGCAGTCGAAGGCTGACGTTCTGACGTGGAAGACGACATATCAGACTACTGTTTTGAGCTTCATCGTACAGGGAGGAGTCAGCTAGCGATGACATGCGTAGATAAAAGGAATCAAATGTTAGGTTCGAACGTAATCGATTGCCAACGAGCACTGTCGGGTTGTCCTTTTATAGAAGCTTTTTCTCTCCGCGCATCTTCTGAGTGAGGGGTCGAGAAATGGCGCTAGCGAACAGTGTGAGGGCCTTCAAAACACCTCTCAGAATAAGGGGAACGATCCCAAAAACAGCCAAAAGCATTCTACCGCTGTTTGCCCAACAACACGAGACTCCAATAATGATCGCGAGTAGCAAGAAGCTTCCGGCGAGGGCAAGGGATTTATACCAGTGCAACATGACATCAAAAATGTGGTGGAAATCGGGAAATATGACTTCCTCATAAACTTGACTTTCGCCTGCGAGGAGTCTGAGCGCACTTCCATGTATGGTTCTTGTCCACTGCAGTATGCCTGTTATTTCGAACGACGTTTCCACTGTTCCACACGTTACCACGCATTGTTTATGAACTCGCGCTGTGGTATGGCTGAACTGCAGCGTCGACGGGGCTCCCCTTTGTTCACATGGCACTGTGAAATAGAGTTCCGTGCACTGAATCGTAGCCATTGTAGGGGCTCCATTTGTCGTGCATGAAATTTGGACTTCGGCGCCTTGCGGACAATAATAGCACCCTCTAGCGATGGAATTCTCCACTTTGCAGATGGATTCTGACACAACAGACACCGTTTTTTCGAATTCCTCTCTGAGATGGATCAGAATTTCTGCTGTTGTGGACATTGGTATCGTGGCCATACCGAATTTTCTTCAGCTTGTGTGAACGATATCCATGGACGTCGTATCGGAAGTCGATTTTCAACCATTTTCTCGAAGACTTCGGTGATGTTTACCTCAGCACAAGTGCATCGAACGCTGTTTTCTGCTGGTTGGCAGGTACAGTGTGGGTAAACCGAACAGCTGAGTAATTGTGCAGCTGCCTTCGAGTCACATTGCAGCGATGGCTTTTCTTCTTCGTTCCAAAGTGCAATATCTTTGCCATTCGAGATGAATGTGGAGGACAAGGTAGGCGTAGGAGGAATTGTAATCGAACTTAAAGTAATCTTCATATTGCCTACAGTTGTGGGAACGGTTGGTACAAGCGAAACCATCTTCTGATACTGTGTATTGTGAGGTTGTCTGATAGATGACATCCATAAGTGGACCTTTTCCTTCCACTGTGCGCACCTTGAATAGTTCATACACTTTGTCATTCTTCGGCACGTGGTATATTCTGTAGAAAAGGCATCCGCTGCTTGGGTAAAAGCACCCGCAACCAGGTCCTCCGCAACTTTCGATGCAGAACGTTACTCCTGGATATCGATTGCTTTGTCCGAGTTCGGGTATCAACGATGACTCATTAACATCCGCGCACTTTCCTCCTTTACAGGATCCCATCGTGTCACAGCGTTTTGAATCCATGACATGCTGCTCTGAGTCCCTCGTGAACAGTAGAGTTTCCTTCTCGCATTCGAGATGCAGACCTTTCCAGGTAATTCGTATTTCGTTCACACGGATTTGTTGTTGATCAGACGGATGCATGCTTCCTGATGGAAACTGTTGAGTTTTAGAATTTCCGTTGTTTCCGAGGTGCAGATCTTTTTCCCTTGCGATGACATAAAACATATTGTTGTCGACTGTGAAAAGACATCCACATTTTGACAGCCATGCG